AATGGAAGTAATCCCAACAATTATGAAACAAGAGATTCCTCGAAACCCAACTTTTCTTCGTATATAAATCTGCTTATGTTGAAATGGTTGGCGAGACAAATATTTGTACGACCTTGAGATTGACGACACTACTTATTTTTGAAGTGAGTATACTTTTCATTTTTCTCCTTTTCTCCCCTCGTAGATGTGTGCGGATGCGGCCCGACTCGCCAAGTTTCAATGTAAACTCGAGAAGGACAACATCGTCTCGCCGGCAATCTGCTTCCGCTCAGACCTTGTGCCCACCGCCGCCGACGTCAGCGCGACCGGCAACGTCGTTCCTTGCGCCGACCGAAATTCTGCCCTACTCCTGCCCGAAGTTGTATCGCCACAGTCGGTCGAATGGCTCGGCCAACCGGTGGCAACCACACTCACGCGTCTCCTAACCGGTCGACATGATCGGCTCGCCGACCAGTTGCGTCGTGACTTTCACCTGTCCGATCGCCGTTTTGCCCTGGCCAGCCTCCTGGCGCTCGGCTTGGCCGTTCGACTCTCCGTCGAGCCCGCAGTCACCACGGCCAACGAAGAACTAACCAAGCTGGTGGCGATGAAGAAGCCGCCATTTACTATCGAGGCAAGCCCGCGTCCTTTGGTTACCGTTCAACTGTTCAACCTCTTTCATTTAACATGATGAAGCACCGGTACATGCTTCCTAAATGCTATTCTCATCTCACCTGGGCTGGACTGCTTGGATCGTATCAGCACCCCTAGCGGGACTCGAACCATGACAGTGCAGCCTATCATATAGACACGTCTTGGTAACCTGATTGCAATTAATTCGACTTTTATAACAAATACAACATTATTTCATCGTCGATCCGACCACAGAATGTCCGGTCTTTCTTGAAATTCACATCTGCCCTATGACACAAGGGCTTTGGTAGTGGTTAACGTGTCATGGTTCGAGTCCCACTGGGAAGTAGTGAGAAGACCCGTTTTGAGAGGCAAGATTAGATTAAGCTCAATGTAACCCTACTCATATTAAAGTGGGAAAATTCAACTATCAGTCCTTTATCACCTTAAACGAAATAGAATGAACACATTTCATATTTACGATCTACTGGCAGTCTCGAAAATCTGCTTCTAGACGAAAAAATTATGTATATGCCTCTCCTTGCGTATACTTGCATATGCGTAAACTGTGTGTTTACCTCTCTTTGTCTGTGATTGCATTTGTCTATCCGTCTGTCTGTATGTGTGACGCGCATGTGTATGTGAATGAGAGTATGAATGGTGTGTGTAGGCTTATATACGAAT